CCAAGAGTTGGCAGTGAAAGTAAATCTTTTTCATCCTAATTATTATATACTGTAAAAAAAAGTATAATTTTTGAAATCAACTTAAAACACTAAAAAAGTCAGAAAGTACTATTTACAATTTTGCTTATTAACTTACTGTTAATGTTCTAGTTTTTGGGCAACAGTATATACAGAGAAACAAATTTCTAGAAAGAACTTGAAGTTAATTTCTTCATTGTTTGAGCCTTCTAACGGGACCCTCATTGAATATCAAGTTGGACCATCTTTAATCATGATAAAAGCCAGCAAGTTTGACCACCTTTTGTCATAATGAAAGCCTGCAAGTTGAACCACATTTTGTCATGATAAAAGCCTGACTCAGCATCAATATAGACTCCATAAAATGTCTTGTTCAGTTGTAACTCATTCATCAATGAGTATGGCTTGCAGCTGGTTCACAGATATGAAAAGAAAAATGTTGTGGCAAAGTAAATTTTAAGTTGATCCCAAAGACAGTTAATCGGATATAGATTCAGTGATTGTGTTGGTCAATGACTTAAGTCACTGCCTTGCTTTTTTTGTTACATAACTCTGTATGAATTGTACATTGTGTATGCAATTTGTTGTACAAGGCTTTTGTAATATTGTTGACGTTATCTTACTCAGAACTTCTAAGTCTTTCTCGTTATGTTTAATATTGTTGTCACTAGAGGGCTAGATATTTCTAGATTTTTCTGTCACATGTCATAAAAACATGCAGATACAGAGTGAAAAAAAAGTTAGTGATAGTAAAGGTGAAGCTAGACTGCATGATTGTCAGTTTAACCATAGAGGGTGAATTCTATAGTTAGTTTCACACCTTGTGTTGTAATTTTTTGTCTTGTCAATTGGGTTCTAAAGTAATTGAACCAGCCTGTGTGTACTATTGACATAAAAGAGAATTATTTAAAGCTCTAGATTCAACTGTAGTGAACAATAGTGTAATGAATTTTTGTACATACATTTGAATTGTTTTGAATATCTATTATTTTAAAACAAGTGGATTGTGTACTGTCCATTTAATGTTGAAATTCATCGCCAACAACTCACAGAGACCTACTGTAAAGAATCCAGCCCTATACAAAACCTGACAAAAGTATTTCACAACTGTATGTTGGAAAGCTTAATGGAATGTCCATTTTGTGAATGATTGAGATATGGTTCAATTAAGATGTTACATGTTTAAGTTGTATATATATATATATATGTACATACACTGAATGGAAAGTTCATTAGTCATTAAAAAATTTTTTTATCTCAGCTGCAGCACCACCTACTACCACTGATGAGCAGTTTGGTTACAAAGACTGGGTCTTCGTCAACTATACTTTCAAGAGGTTTGAAGGCCTAACACAGCGAGGAAAAGGGACAAAGAAAAGCTAGTTTGAAATTAGGGTAGTTGTGATAAATAACATTTGAAACTGATACTTGATTCTTAGCAACACCTTGAAGCAATCTATATGAATACTAACCTGTGTTATCCAAGACTTCACCATTGCTGAATTGAAACAGTGTGTTCTGTAAAGCTCACCTTTATTTAAGTTTTATAAAATTGCTGTGCCAGAACTTGTTTTTTTTTTTATAACTAGAAGTTAAGAACATTATTCATGCCAAAGACAAGCAGGTACCATTCCATCATCAAGAAAAAGCTGTGACATAAAAGGATCATTTGTATGTGTTATAAATTAAACATCAAACTATGCACTTAATTATATTTCTCTACAGAGTTGTCTAGAATAAGTGAGACATGTCTTTTTTTTATAAGGTGTAAGTGGGTTGTAGTGATTTGTTTAGGATAGCATAATTGGCTTCGTCCTCATACGACAGTCTGAAGATAACAATTTTTGAAGCCGTGATGTAGTAGTTTGATATATAGTGTCCAATTAACTACATCATAAATTAACTAACTGATAATTTAGTTCCCATAACTTCCTTAGTTTTTTTCTTCTACAACCAGCAAAAGCTTCTAACTTTTGCAAGATATAACATTTCTTGATACATTTTCTAAAATCAGCTACCTCTTAAGGATATTTCATTAGTTTAAAGATACAATTTCATGTGTCAAAGCATTTCTTTATAGATGAAATCTATTTTCTTGTTAATGTCAATAAGTAAAACTTGTGAATATTGGAATGATAAACTATGATATACAAGTTTTTTCCTAGTAACATGTATTTCAATAAGATTTTCAATCAAATAAGAAATAATCTTGAGGAATTATTACTAGTTTTATATCAGATTTTTAATCAAAACTCTTTAACAGTGGGATCTCAAATAATTCTTCAACTAGTCTATATGTTTGGTGTTATATGGTGATGAGATTTATTTTTTGGGATCTGTATAGTGCTTGACAGGTATGTTTTGCCTTCAGTGTATTAAGTTCAGCTAGGATATAATATCAAAACAACGTAAGAATGTGACTTATGGATTGAAAAGAACTTTCTGAATCATTACTTTTGTGTATAAAGATGTTTTTTGTATAATTTATGCTAATCTACTGAAGCCTAATGTCATAGGGTTGTGCTGTGTCTGTTTAAACCCAAATTTGGCTTTACCGTGTACAAAAAGGTTATAAAACCTGCACAGATTTTGTTTGCAAGTCTTATTTATTGTTCAAAAAGCAACACTGTATTCTGTTAAAAACCATGATCAGATTTTAAGATCAAGTAAATGTGGTTTCACATGATTGTTGAACCAATGCCTGTTCAGTAAATAGTTTAAACTAGAGTAATGTTTGTTACAAAAATGCAGCCAAATTAATCACATAAATCTCCATTATGAACTGGAAAAATAAAATTTCTGCTACACTTCTTAACAAGGACTAAAGTGGTCTCTAAATTATATATGATACAAACATATCTAAACCAATCAGATAAGTATTCTTGTCAGAAAAACATACCATTAGAGTAATCTTATTATTATACGCATTTATATCTATATATAAATACATACTACAGTCAATTTAATCATATGTAAATTTAGGAAGTTTAAATCTTCAGTGCAGACTACAGCAAATATAATTAAAGTGTAGCAGAAAGATTTGCTGTAGTCTGCACTGAAGATTCAAACTCTTAATTAGTAATCAAAGTAATAATATAGAAACATTCATGTTACTTGCTGCTGACAGAAACTAGGTGAAAAACGTTTTCTATACCTTTTACATTATAGTCACACAAAAATAATCTAGTCAGCATGGCTTACATACACTTTTTTTTTCTGTTACTCCAGGAAGTAGGGAACCTGTTACTTTATAGGTTGTGATATAAAATATAATAGTAGATAATGAAATGATCCTTGAAACTTAGGTTGAATTTGTTGATTAAATATCAATAAAACACATTTCATAAATAGTAAATTTTAATTTTTGATAACCCCTCTATCATGCATTCAGATGTCTTTTTAAGACTAATGCACCGAGTTTCAATTCTTTAAAAACTTTTCTTATTATAACAAATGTCCTAAAGCTGAATGTGTGTGTGTGCGTATTTTTTCATAATTCAGAATTTTACAATTAATATCCTTATGGTTACATTATGATTTTTTGGCATATTTTGTTAAGTAATAATTACCCATAAAAAAGTGTCTTTTATTCTTGTAATTAGGTTTATTACAAGCTAAAGTCTATCCTTAAATTTCCTGTTTTAGTGAGAGACACACACCTGTGGTACAACAGTATGAACCAGTTTGTCAATATAAGTAGACTATTATAAATTGTAGTTTCCTTTATCAATCTTATGTAAAAATTGCAGAAACTTGAACCTGAAACTAAATGTTATGTAATGGATCTGTCCAACAATGTTTTTTGTTTTACTAAAGACCCATTTAGTTCACTGATCTTATGTAGGCACTGAACGATTTCTATTAAACATCTTGTAAGTCAAGATACTGGTTGAAATACTGTATTTCAGTTCGAAAAACATTATCAATGTAACTTAAGTAAAGAATTTATTTAAATACTAAGTTTCATAGAACCTTGGTGGTCCCTGCCAGTGTTTCAATGGTAAATCTGAGAGCTTATAATGTTAATAGTTTGTTTTTGATACCCAAAGTGGGTACAGCCCAGTTGGCCCTTGTGTTTATCAGTTTAATACTATTTTTTGTTCAGAATTCACAAGGTTTTGTGTGTTGGGGCGAGGAGTAAGTGTGATAATTAACTGAAAACTTTTGAGAAATTTTATATTCATAACTTTAGAGAAGCCTCAAGATATTCAGTATCAACAAACAAGTACATTATTGGAGAGAGTTTTTTGCATTGTTGTTTTAATATATATATATATATATATATATATTAATTGTTTCCTTTGTAATGTACTACTTTCGAAATAAAGGAAACATCTGACCTCATATGTTATGTAAGATTGTATCCAAAGACCAAAGTCTGATATCAGAGTTAATGATACCATTGAATAACTTGGAACTGAGTCTTAGTGTGTACATTTAGACTACAATTATAGTTTTTTTCCATTGCTATCTTAATTTAAGACACTGGTGGATTTCTTATCCAAAAAAATCTAACCAATGTTGGAACAAATAAATCTGGACTAAACATGAACTTAAATCTAAGGTTGTAGTTGTGTAAAGACTAGGGATGCACGGGTAGTAAAATTTGGCCAAATACCAGGTCAGGGTACCTGGTTACCAAGCTGGGATCGCGTTCTCCCCTCACCCCACCCCCCAAACAAACAAACAACACACACAAAAATTAGAAACAAAAACAAAATTGACATTTATTACATTTAACCAAATAATCACCAACAGAACCTTCACAAGTTTTACTTTCAACACCTAGCCCCAATGTCTCGAACCCTAACCCCTATTGTTCTCTGAATCCCTGACTTTCAGCGGGTGGTCAGTCTTGTTGTTCGGAATACATTTTTTTTTTTAACTAAACCAATTTTTTACTAACTTTCAGTACCTCGTTAGTTCCTACAAATATTAGAGCTTAGATGCCTAACTTTGACACTCGGCCGGAACCAAGTATTACCGGGTAGCCCAATACCTGCCTGGGGCCGAATATCTAGCCAGGTACTCATGCATCCCTAGTAAAGACACCTGTAGCACTAAAAGATGTGTTATAATAGTGTTGTGCACAAGTAACGTTTAAGCTCTTAAGAAATTTGAGAGGTACAAAACCTCTTTCTGTTTGTAAATACCTTGTAATTAAAAGGGAACAAACTGAAAATTGAGTAGTTATATTGTAATTTGTGTATTTAAAATGCTTAAGGTAATTATAAACTTCTTCATCTTACCACAGGTTATTTAGAAAAAATGCATTTCTCAGTTAAAAAATGTTTATGGATTTGGTTTAAATATCTTTTTTTATGTGAATGAACAACTCGTTCTTGAATAAGAGAGCATTAATTTACACTAGTGCAAGCCTTTTTTTGGGGGGTGACTTGTGAATTACAATTTTATCCAACATAATCATATACTTGCAACATAATATTAACTCTTATGGTTAAATTATCCTTATTTTATAATTTATAACATGGTTATATAGTTAATGAATGAATTTCGACCCACATTAAGATATTCATTTCTAAAATAAGAGGTTTTTTTTGCTATTGTTTTTGGTATGCAGAAATATTTAAGTATCAGTGACTAAAGTAAGGAAATTATTTTTTTATACATTAAATTGTTCATTTTATGACCATTCAGAATGAAAAACTGAATAAAATTCTGATGTACATGGGTTTTTTCCCCTTAGTGGGATGTTTTGAACATAATCTTATAATTTAAGTCTATTTTCTACATATTTGAAAATTGTATGATTTAGTTTATTTACAATAACCTTACTTGTATACTGTCAGTCTTAACATTGATGGCATTACATGTGTTAAAGCCTTAAGGCTTATTGTACTTAAAGCAAATGCTTTAAAGTGTTTGTAACATCTTCTGAATAGTGGATTTGTTTTTAACATGTTTCTCTCCTTGCTAATTTGGTAAGTTACCATGGTAGACAATTTCATTCATTCAAACTGTCGAATACATGTATAATATAAACTTATCAATAAACACTGAACCATATACACTCAGTTTATTTTCATTGGTGACTCGTACATTTTAAATAATAAAAATAGGAAGGAACAAAAAAGAGGAAGGAATTAAGACCAGGTTTCTGAAATTCTTCAGACTGCCTCTATTCTTTTAAAATGGCGACCTGAAAAATAATTACTGATATTAACTAGTAAACTCATACGTTTCTATAACATTTGCTTTAATCATTTTGTTTTTTATTTTACATTTTATTTATATAAAAGAGCACGTTAATGCTACATAGTTTAAAAACTTGATCTTTCTTAAATTTAAACACTGGTATTTTTATCAACTTTGACTTTAAAATATTAATCTGACATTGATTTTAATTATCAGTGGAGTAGAAAATAAGATTATTTTAAAAGTAACACTGGGTGATTTTGTGGCAAGTTCATGCATACTTAATCTGAGTATTAGTCAGACATTCGTGTTTTTTTCTACTTACTAAATCTTTTTATTCTAAAATGTTAACACCATTTGCTAAGTTTTTCATATGTTTTGTGTGAAATATTAATGTAAAAGTTTCTACCTCATTTCGTCAATAAGATACTTTGAATTTAAAGAAGTATAGTGGACACTGAGTGTAAACATGACAGTTAGTTACTACTGTGTAAAAAAACACATGTACCTTGACGTTTCGCCTTACATATTTTTCAAGTGGTTAACCATCCATTAATTTCAGAATTAGTCTTAGTACAACTACTAGATGATAGTATGTGATTTTAAACACGACGTTCTTTATAAATTCGGACATAAATTTGAATCCTTAGTTAACAAATACTTATAATTTATATATTTTAAAATCATCAAAACAAAGTCTAAAGAATGAGAAATAATCAAAGGAAAAATATAACCATTAGAAAATGGCATTAACTTTGAAGATACAACCAAATTGTTACTAGATAGCAGACCAAATTTTGCAACTACAACTAGATTGGATGATACAGAATTGGATATTTTATCATAATTATGGCAAACTTTCTATAAAATGTGACAAAAACATTTTTTTTTAAAAACCTGGAATGCAAACAGTAGAGATTCGTCAGAACATAGATGATATATTTGGAGCCTGAGACACTAACTTAGAGTCACTTATTAGTTTCCATAGGTGTTTAAATATAGTTCATCCATTCATGAAATTTACACTTAATTATGTCATACCAGCAGGCCCACCAACAGAAATTCTGGATTCCAGGGGAAAACAGTCAATGGTTTCCAAGAAATGGACTGGTATGACCTATTATATTTTATTGCAAGTATTAATTTCGACTACAAAACGTATCTGTCCTATCCGTCCGGGGCTCTGAGAAGTTGCCGCATTTACTCCTCCCCTCGGTTGGTAGGTCTGCATATCAGGTAGAAATTTAGCATTTTTATAAACTATCATCTATATTAAGGATGGGGAAATCATTATTAGTATTTTTAGCAAATTCATCTAATAAAGTCGTTTGTTTGAGTTTCCACTTACATCATCCTCCTGCAGTAAAAAGAAGTGTCGCTATTGACTACCTCCTTAGGATTGATAAAAGGGACTAGGGAAAATCTGATGAATATTTTCGAAAAAATTAATACTCACAAGAATACATATACAAAACATAATAAGGAATTTTGATAGACAAAAACAAACAAACTCCCTTGAGCCACGAAAATAATCCCTCGGAGGGGCTAACAATTTTAAAATCCTGAGTTTGATTCCCTACTGTAGATAGAATGCAGATAGCCCATTGTGTAGCTTTGTAAGTTTGCACTGAGAAAACACAACCATGTAAATAAAGAAATGCATATTTAAAGTCGGGATAATTGGGTGATACCATGTATATCATATCACCATAAAAGTGATGAGAATAATTGCATCACATTTACCTATTTAAACAGTACAAAACCAAGCATTCAACCTTAAATCCTTAATAACAAATTGAGCATATTAGAAAGAAACACAACATGTAAAAAAATAAATGTATAGCCGCTAAATATGACATAAATTATCAGTGGCATTGTAAGGTTGATTGATTAATTGGCGTTTTTTGGTGCAAAGCAACTGGGCTATCTGCGCCAAACAACCGGTAAAAATGCCAGAAGTAAAAAAACTATAAAATTGAAAAAGTCAATAGCCCACAAGAAGTTAAAAACAGAAGCGAGCTTGACAATGTCACCATCGCCAAAGACACTGTACAACGTCGGGGTAAACCCCGAGAAAAAACATGTCTAAGTTAGTGTCGCTGTTCGCAGTCGTAACGACGGCACTAAAACAAGACATGGGCAGTTGTGACTTGAGTGTCACAAAGGACACAGGATCATTTCCACATAAAAGAAAACAATAAGTTAAAACCCCGTGGCCAATGCGCAGCCTAGACAAGACAACTTTCTCCCTCCGATCCTTATGGAAACTGGACGGCCAAACAACAACCGTAGGTTTCATCTGAAAAAGCTTGTTATGCAGTTGCTCACTACAAATCAACTACCAACTGGCGCAAAGACATGCCTTGATCACAAGACCATAGTCCACATACGGGACAGGCATAGCTGTGACAATGCCAGAGCAGACGGTCTTAGCTGCGGTGTCAGCAAGCTCATTCCAACATGGCCAGACATCCAGAAAAACTGGATAGAAACGGAAGACAGAGAAAACTGAGCCAGTCGTTTCTGAATGTCCATGTGAAAAGGGTGAGAACTCACATTAGGGATTTCAGGGCCAGTAGATAGCTAAGCTAATAAGTGTAAATAGTATAGTTAGTATGCTGCTTAGCTTCAACGTGATCCAAGGCAAGAGAAATGACATATAACTCGGTAGTGAACACAGAACTGTAAAGGGGATCCTGCGAGCAACCACAGAGCCACAGT